AGTAAAAAAACAAAGAATTGCCACATTTCCAATATTCTGCCTGCAACTCATTTGGCTGGACAACAAAAAGACTTTAAAGTCATTTTTCTCAGTTCTACACTCTGGCGAGTTAAGGTCTTTTGCCTTTGTATTGTCAGCCTGTTTAGTGGTACTTGCTCTTTGCAGTGCTGTTTTCATTCAAGATTTTTATTTGTCACATGCTCTTACAGATGTGCAGTGAAATGTAAAGACTGTTCCGCAAGGCCATGCAATAACACTCAAATTTGCTAATACACATAAATACAGTAAAATAGAATATCACAAAAACAACATAACTGAAGAAAAAAAACACACAGCCTCAGCGGAGCAACCCGGACGGCGTCTGGACACGGCAGCGCCTTGAGTTTTTGTCCCCCATAATATGCCTTTTCCCTCTGATTGTTAAAAATTTAATTTTCATGAAAAAAATACTTACATTGACAGCTTTCGTTGCAGATTTCTTGTAAAATCTATACACTGTAACTGTATGCACCCTATTACCACAATGCTCCCTTGTTAAATCTGCATTCTTATCACAGTGCTTAATATTTAAAAACTCTGGATCGATGCACAGGTCTTACAGGCCACACCACCATTGCAAAAAAAAAAAAAATACACTGTAATTTTCTTCTCAATTTCATCTCCTATCCAGCCAACTCTCTCCTTTTTCCCCCACCAAGTGCTTTTTTGTTGGATGGCTATGACCAATCCCCCAAATGTTGACCCAGTAATTGGCCACAATCTGTAACAGACGTAACCGTAATGGCATTTCACCTGCTTCAACATGGAGTGCAAACACTTCAGAGGAACTGCTTTCTAACCCGCTCTTTTAGGAGCCTGAGCTTGCACAATATCCAGGCCTTTGTGTGTGAGTCATATGATACTTCTTAAGATCTTTTAAAGGCCAAAGAAATCCAGACTAGAGATACAAAATCTGCTCTCAACTCCAATCCGGCATGACACATCCTTTTATTTTTTGTCACTTTTTCCACATAGCTACATAAACCAAGTCTTCTGTGAGGCCAATATCTTTCTACAATGTTGATAACTTCAACATTATCTATACCTGAATAGTTCTTCCATCCATGAAGTCCACAACCCAACTCTCATTTTTACTCTGATTCCTGTGAAGTGCAGTTTAGTTAGAAGCCAATTTTCTCCGTGCATAACTGTTTGAACTTTACTTTTTTATCCACAACAATTTATCCATGACAGGCCAATCATTTCTGTTCTGATTTCACTTTGTTACCACCATCCCTCCCCCCCTCTCAAGAAGAATTAACCTCTCATTTATCAAACATTCAGTTATTTGACAGACGTGGGACCTTAAAGAAATTGGTATGTAATTTCCATATGCGTCGCCATATTATCGCCTTATTACCTTTAATATTGAACTTATTATCACCTTTTTCCAGCTTCCCAGCTCCCTGGCATTCGTCCCTCATCCCACACTTTGCTGTATAAAAGCAGTCATTTCTCCAGACTTCCTCCTCTTTGATGTTTTTACATGGTATGGACTTTTTTCATCTCTGCCAGGTGCAATCATCTTTTTTTTGTCCAGTGGCTTTTTTTAATTATTCCACACAGAAATGGGGACATTATGCACCTTTTCCACATAACGCTGTCATGTTTTCTCTCTGTCGCTTGTCTTTGTAACTGGCAAATTACTGAAGTCCTTCACCATAACATCTCCATTCCTTTGTCTCCCTCCCATCTTTTTTTTTTTTTTTTTTTTTTTTATCCATTTTTTTTCCACCACTTGCGCTTGACTCCTTCGAACAAATGCGATGGGAGCGGGTTTGGAGGTGTCGCAAGAGAGTGTGGAGGCTTTGGTACAGCAGAGGTTGCTGTTAAACAGAATTTTGTGTTGGTTTCATGCTTTGTGCTCAAGGGCGACATCTGCTGGATAAAAATGTTGCACATGCTTCCTTTAATATAACAGCTAAAATGTCCAGATGTCCACTGTGTTTTAAGGAAAAACTTTAAAAAGACAACACACCTTGTCGTAAATAATGAAAAGACGACACACGTACCCAACTGTAAAAAAATATTTCAAGACAACACCCCTCCTCCACCGTTGAGCTGATTTTTGTTCTCCAATGTCAATGCAATATGCTTCCTAACAAAGCAGTAGGGAATACTAAATGATCATTTGCTGTTGATTTCCTATTGGAAGGTGTTGACATAGATCTGATCTTTTCATCAGTTGACGTTGGTTTCATTCCGACGTCCCGACCCGACCTGCTACAACCAGCCTGAACCAGTTCAGCTCCTGCAGCCTGAACTTGCCCTCTGACCCTTTCAGGCCAAGATCAATAAAGTGTTTTTGCCCATGATTAGTATAAGATGGAGTGCTCCGGCCTCAATGAGCCACTGCTCTCTTCATGACTGATGATGCTACGTAGCTGCTTTGGCGTCATTATGTGGACGGTACTTGGAGTACACTTGGTGTTCGATTCGGCAGCAAATTGGAAGCAATCTGCACTTCCAGAGCGGCCTCTATTGTCACCCAAGATTTGAAGAACTGCGCAATCAGTCGTTGACAAATGAAACGGGCGCAGAACGACAGCACGTCAATATGGGAGGAGAGAGGAACGATTGTTACTTCACCTTGATCTGTGCAGCATGAAGGACAGCACATCAAGTTAAAAGCCACACAAAAAGACAACCCATAAACATCTCTCTTCAAATGAAGCCTATTGTATACATCCACTCTCGAGCCTCTTAGTGTGAAATATAGGTGATGACGATCACCCATCAGCAGCCTCTAGGAGAAGACCATCCTTGTTGGAGATGAAGGGGACAACAAGGGGCACCATTCGGAGAAAATTCAATATGGCACTATGGTGAGAATAAAAATGGCACTAATGAGATTCAACCCCCAACCCTCCCCCAAGACCCCTCTCTATCTCTCTCTCTCACACACACAGGCACAAAACAGGTATTAAAACAGTTTTATGTGGAAGTAATAAACTGCCTCGCTCCTGTTTGTAGCGCATTTTACACCCCAATGGTAATAAGGACACAGGTGATTACCGCCCAGGTCTCTCCTGCTTGTTATGCTAATGTGACATATATGCCTGAGACGACTCCCTGAATGGTTAATCCCATGTTCATATGTATGTAGTGTAAATCAATTGCAGTCCAGCTATAGTCACATGTGTCATAATGATTTCTGCACAGCAATCATCTTGCTCCATCAACTCGTGAAATATTCTCAAACACTGTTCTCGACATGGATACTTACAGCATAATGTATATTTGATTATCTGTATTCACATCCGCAGTGTTAATAGCACATATTAAAGCTGTTGCTGAGGGAAAAGGAAGCCCCTGTTATGTAAGCGACGAGCACAATGGGATTTAAAAAAAAAAAAAAGATGTATGGACGTCAGAGAGAAAGTTTTTTTGCCTGACAGAAATGTTAAAGCAATTCTGTCCATAGGCACGGCAGCGTGGCACCTCTATTTTTCAGTCTATTAGCAGCGCTCAGGCAGCAGAACCAAGCGCTGCATGCAACTGTGTCCGTTGAAAAGTCCAGGAGGGGCTTCTCTGCTGAAACACAGTCTCTTTCCTCCCCGGCGGTTGTTGATGCAAATTCTGAAGATAACACTCAAATGACAACCTGCTAGAACACTCAGCACTATAAAAAGTGATATAATTAAGAGATATAACCTCTGCTGTAAGTCAATTGGATATATTTTTTATGGATCAAATACAATCACTTCATGAGGACTTAGGACATTTTTTTCTAAATGTGAGATTTTAATTGAAGCTTTAAAGCAGCTGTGAGGAGCTTTTAGGTTGATCTTTATAGTTCAATTTAGGATTCATTTTAAAATGTTACTACATGTTTTGGAAGATAACATGAGTCAGCAAGACAATATACTTCAGAACGTTTTCACCCCTGAAGAGCAGAGGAGACTGCTTTTTCATCGTTAGCACCAAAACTCTGGAACAAGAGTTGTTGTATATTTTAAAGCTCCTGTGGGTAACTTTCATTTTTTGTTGATTTTGGCGCCCCCTGTGGACAAAGTGGTAACTCTTCATTGTAAATTCGGATTTTTACCCTTAAAAAAACACATTGTGCTTTCTTTATACTCTCTAAGTATACTTTATACTCTCTCACTTTGAGGGTTCAGGGCTCACTGTCGAAACCATCGAGTCTGTGAGGGATCTCTCGCTGTAAACAAACACCATAAAATGGAAAAAAAAGGAGAGATGGTAAATAAGCAGGAAGGTGAAACTTTTAAGTTGTAAAAACTTAATTTTTTGTCAATTCCGTCTTTGCTTTTTTGCCGTGTAATATGTGAAGCACCTTAGGCGACATGTTTGTATGAAAGCTGCAATAGATATATGAAGCCAAGTTGATGTTGTTATTTCAGGGAAGAATATTAAACAAGAATTACCAACCAACTATAAAAAAGGAGCTGATTTCTGCAAAATAAAATCCTCCACCCGTTGTGATTCTGTTCATTCTCCCCCTCTAGGTACTTCTCTAGACCCTCCTCAGCAAGTTGATACATGTACTGAAGGGTAATCCATACTTACTAAATTGGTTTAATCCATCTATCTCAGTTGTACATGGCCTTGTCTTTGTCACGGCTAAATGTAACGTGATTAACGAGGCCTGCTGTGACTGTTGCATACACCCAAGATATGCTGAGTCTACAGCCTCGGCACAATCCTCGGGACGCACTGAGCGTTGCCTAAATGTCAGGTGTGTTTACTAAGCCACCTGCATCACTGAGATTATCAGGGGCCTGTACAGTTGAGACTAAGCTACACATTCTAACTTTGATATTCCTGAACTGTCAAAAACTGAGACTTTTTTTGGGGGTGTTTTTTTTTTGTTGCTCTCGCTTACATGCCTTTGGATTCATACCGTATAGAAGACTTTTCTGTAGATTCCTTCAGCGTGTTCTTGGTTGGATGGTTGAGCTTTTTCAGTTGCAATGCAGATGAGAGGGGAAGTAGGCCACCTGTAGGGTCAAATGGAAATTGGGTATGAAACTCAAGAAGAGGCATGCTTTGTCCATCATAGGCAAGGTCAAGGCGATCAGACAAAAGAAGGGAATGGAAGTTGACATGACATCCCAAATGTAATATGTACCCACTATGACTCATATTGTGCACAATGACTCATATATTGCACAAAAAGCAATACAATATGACCAACTAACAAACGCTCCTTTAACATTCTAAATGCAGTAGCTGGTTATAAATGGGCTAGTTGGTGTTTTGGCCACTAGAGGGCAGTGTAACAACCTTTAAATATGAAACTGACATATCACTTTGCAAGAATGTACACCCCTAAAAGGTTAGCTTATTTTTACATCCAGCAGATAAAAATGTAACATTAGCATGAATTCAGATTTTGTTATTTTGACGAGTTTAACTAACTCGCCTTTTACCTCTATTTCGGTCTCCACCAATGGCTCAAGAAAACACCTGGTTCTGTAGCAGCTGAATGCTCCACTATTTCCACCAGCTAGCAATCAACTTTGTTTATGTGTGCAGGTAGTGTACTGTAAAGTTGGAACTGTTAAATTGTATGCCATTCAATTAAAACAATGATTCAAAAGATACAATCTGCAGGGGTTGATGATAATTCATCACTTAAGGTGACAATATTAAGATAAAAACCTCGACAACTGCAACTTTAATTAGCAATAAAATAGTTTTGAACAACAGGTACACTATCATTTTTTTTCTTCCGAAAAAGCAATATTTGTTTCCACCAGTATCCTTGTAATACACTATTGCCTCTGTGGCATCAGCTCGTCACAACCTCAGCTTCCTCAAACTTGTTGCTAGGTTCCGTGTTGCATCACAGATTTAATGCAAGAGCAGCATCACTGAGTTAGGAATGAAAGCAATTTCCTTAACTCTCCCAGTAACATGCCATCCATGATTGATTTAGACCTCCAACCTCTCAATCACAGCTGGCCTGTTGTACTCAGATATTGCGCATGGAGCAAATTTGGTTTCTAAACTGGGAATGCATTATGAAAGAGAGGCTGAGCATCATCTGGTTTTCCAGCTTCACGATTTGAAAACTTGCGATAAAGGCAGCGCAACCACAACTCTTTGTGATGAATTTATAGAGCCGCTGGATGAAAAAAAAAAGGCTGTTGGGAAAAGTAATAAAAATCTGGTAACTGCAGGAGAGTGCATAGTGTTTTGAGTGCAGCGGAAACATTAGTATTAAATAATTTTGCGTCCAAAAGACACATAAGCTTTGGAGCGTAATCTCAAGAGAAATTAAATCTCTGTCGATGCCTGCAATGCAGAGATAAAGTATATTATTACTTCATGACGCAATGGACAGTCATGCTGGACAGTTTTGAAAGTACCTTCTGTTCTTTTGTTGAAGACATGTTGCCAGCAGAACACTGAAATAAATCTTGAAAAGGAAACTCTCGCACATGATGCTGTCCATGCTTTTCTGAAAAAGGAAATAAGCACAAGCTGTAATTGAATCATCTCCGCTGGTAATGGAACCTTTTACAGACCTAAAGGCCTCTTGTCCTGACTTTCACCAAACAGACACCGCAAATAGCCATTCCTCTCTAAATCCTTATCGGCAGGCATGCAATCTGATCAATCTGCGGCTGCCTCATCTTTGTTCAACGGCACAGCCTATATGGCCTCAGTGGGCAGACATGTGACGCTTCTTCTGACTCCACATGCTGCCTCCCTCCACAGGTCAGGCCATAGATACTGCCTCCCATAATGGGAGCGTGGGCGAGAAGAGGCAGGCGAGGCACAGGACAGGACCTGTCTTTGAGGAGCTGTGAACTGCATTCATACCTCCCTTTACAGTTGCTGCAGGCGTGGGTTTAGAGATGCTGAGGTGAGGAGACATGGCAGTCCCAGAAAATGTTCACAGATGCAGGAAGAAAAAATACACACATCTCTAGAAATTCACATGGACTCTGGGACAAAGTTGTTACAGAGATCGCAGGATCATCAGCGTAATATCGGATGCTTACCGAATAAATCAATTTGTAACGAATGAAGAAGAACATGAGCGCTGGTCATTCCTGAGACAATGAATGACAACTCATTTTTTAAGGTACTCAAAGGTATGTCAAAGTGTAATATATGGCACCTGGCATGCAACAGACACAGCCCCAGAATGGCCTTTTTCTATGATGGGATTACCCACATTTTCACACAGTGCTTACATTCAAAATGTTCTTTTATTGGACAGCGTTCTGAGTGAAGTCACTTGCAAGGCTTTTTAGATCTTTCTTGTCGTCCCTGATTAACTTGAAAATGTAGCCCTTTTTTTTGCGCCTATATGTTAACTAGGCACCCGATTATAATGTAAATACCATCCTTTTCTCAAAGCCCAACCCCCAAAACCACAACAGAAATTAGCTCTTAAAACATGAAGGTAAAGCAAATAGCCTGAAAAGTGAAGAGCTTTAACTGTGTTTATTTTATTGACACACAGCTTCTTCTCCGTTTCCTGCACAGATTAATCCCTTAGTTTTTGGCCTTAATTTGTAAGACTTGCGAGTGACTAAAAATAAAAAAAAGACATGCAAGTCCCTCAGTGGGTGCTGGATCAAAAAAAAAAAAACTAAAGGGAAGGAAAGGAAAGCAAGATCCGCACACCGAGAAACTCCCATTAGAAGGATTCATTAAATTCACACTTAAATATAATATAAATCAAGTATATCCTCTGAAAATAACTCTGTGAGTCATGACTGTCTACAATGGGTGTAACACTCGAGTCCCACTGTCTGTGATGCTTTCCGAGTCCTATCTTCAGTTTGTTTACATCGTCGGGACGGCCGGCTGACTCCTCCCCTCATGTATAAAGTGTTTAATTGAGGGACTAGAGAAAAGAAGAATAACATACTGTACTCACTGCTTAACTGCGTTTCTAGATCACGCTCATTTCAGGTAAATTTACATGCAGTGTAAAGATACCAGCATAATAAAGATCACTAGCATTAGCATGCTAACACAAACAATGCAGCGCAAGGTGTTTTGGTTTCATGCTGGTGCTCAAGGCGACATCTGCTGGATCAAAAAAATATAAAGCCTTTAAGTTGCTCGAAACGTCACTCAATAAATCCTTCAAACAGCTTCTTGGTGTGCAGATCTTGTTTTGGTTTTCTTACCTTTTGTGAGTTACTAATGACATCAAGAAAAGATGGAAGTAAAGGCGATCTACTCAGAAGAGTAGCTCGTTGCAGCTATAAAAAAAAAAAAAATCAGATTAATGATTTCTTTTGGACTGATTCAACATTTTAAATTGAACTATGAAAATAAACTAATTCATTTTACATCTGCGGGAACTTAACTTAAAGCTCACTCTTTTTAATATGACCTTGCACAACACTGCTTACAGCCCCTAATGGATGGAGCAGAAACAGCTGTGGCTGTCCATTGTTCACCCGTATCACCTCCCATCATCTGCCCCTCACTTCCATCAGGAACTGCTCTTTTTCCACCATCCATCACTCCGTGGCGTTGTCCAATGGATGCTGCCCCTGATCACCTCTGACTAGCCCTGACTGGGGCCTGTGCTTCTGTTGTGGATGCGAGTCCTGATAGGATGTGACAACTTTATTAGGCACAAATCAGGCCGCCGCGGTTTCATTCTCTACTGGTTGTGTGAGCGATGTGTGCCTCGAGCCGTGGTTTGTCGGAACGCGTGGGATCCTTTCTATCTTTTTATCTCCCTCTTTTTTTTTATTCAAAGCCTCCAGGCCGTGCCCAGACATTATAGCCCGCTCTCCACCATCGCAGACAGAATCCTGTAGGGGACACATCGTAGCATGGATTGTTGGTCCTGTCACTGGCCAACACCGACAAGCCCATCACAAAAAAATTAGCACATATGTCAACACTGACCATTGTTAGCTTGGAGTCACATCCAGATCCAGTCAAACGACATAACTCATCAACCCATCCACACCAAACTGCGCAAAAAGCCAGTGTAAAGGCTCATCGTAAAATACCTTTTACTTCTAGTAAATCCTTTACCCTGTCACGGATCAGAAGGGATAAATTCGAAGGCACTGAAAACTTGATTGGCTTTAGCGGTAATAAAAGAGTACAAGGATAAATAATGATTTCCATATCTCCAGTATATTCCATCAACGTCAGGTGAGATTATTTATATCACGGCGACAGAGAAAGGAAAAATCCCCTCTTCAGTGTGTTACAGCGCCGGGTTAAACAGAGGGTTCCTGAGGAGATTAACACAGACATGTTCCCAAAGCTCCCCGTCAAGAGAGCAAAATGGAAATCATCCAATTTCTCAGAGAGAAGTTTAGGCAAATTGAACGGCATTACGGACACACAAGGAAGACAAGACTTGGATTTGGTGCATAAACATTTTTCTCTGCATTCATTCTGGCTTTGTTAAACAGTTCATCCCTCAGGGGGAGATCAGAAAAGAAAGAAAGATGTAAGGACAGAAGACCATTTATGTCCCTTCTTCTTTTCGTTGCATGTATAAATTCAAGTGGAAGTGTGTCTTCTGAAACAGTAAAAGTGATAAGTCCTTTTTTTTTACGGTTATGGTGCCAGCAGGTTCTATTTTTAGATCTCGATAAATAGGCGTTAGCTAGGTTTCACGATTCCAGCTCCAGTTTAAAAAAAGAACAAAAGAAGAGGTAGATTCAACACCATATTTATAAATCAAGTCTCCAGCCAATCTTTAAAAAGTGATAAACACCTACATCAAGGATTTTTAGGAACAAAACTAATTTACATCCCATTGTTCAAATGAAGCGATGGATCTTGCCTAAGTCCCTTTTGAACTCTGCTTGGCATATACGCCGGCTCATATGCCACTCATATGCTGCCATATGCGCCGGCACGTGCCGCTATGCTGCATATGAGTGGACTAGACCAGGACTAGGATCGTACCGCGGCATGTGCCACTCATATGCGGCATGCTGCGGCACGAGTGGATCAGACCGGCCAGTGCCAGTCATATGTGTTGGCACGTGCC